AGGGTCTGTATCACAGACTAAATTAGGTGATAAACACACTAAATTTTAAATGCAGAGCTTTGCTACCTGTTTTTTGGCGGAGCTACATTTAACATTTAAACCCCACATTACGCTCTTTGTTCCAAATTCAGTTTAGTACTGGCAAATCTACAGAGTACATATATGAAAGCACAGTTTATATCCAAATCAGACCACTGTGCAATTCAACTGACTGTGACTGTAGATTTCATTTTGGGATCACAGTTACCTTTGTCTTTACAATATTGGTTTTTTGTTTGTTTGATTGTTTAATGCCGCTCTCTGCAATATCCCAGCTATATGACGGCGGTCTGTAAATAAAGTGAAAAGAGGACCAGACAACCGAGTGATTGATATTGGGAGCAACGATCCACGTCTTCGGGTACGATTTACAGTAATAAAGCGAATTGTGAATTTTACTGGCATATGACAATGGCGACACAACCAAACAATATTGTTTCAACAAATGTATGCTCTGAAGGAAAGTGTTCATATGGCTGAAGAGGAGCTTGCTGGCAATACAGTTACCCTGTCTCTTGGATAAGCATGGAATAAGACATCGTGCTTCAGCCCCCAATTTAGTACTAAACATATTCAGATATTTTCAACAGCAGTTGAAAAATAAACTCAGAACTTACATAAAATAAGACGATACATAACAAATATCTGTGTCATTGCACAGATAAAAATCACTCGTTTACCCAAAAATAGTTTATGGAAAATTATTGTATTCCAACAAATGTATTTTGAAAAACATGGAAATGACTGTGACGATCGTAACATTTTCAATTTCCACGCGCGTCATTCCATTATGTCAATATTAATATGTCCTACAACCATTATTTTCTGTTCCTTATTTTGTTTTCAAAAGAGCACTATCCTAACTCAGTGAACATCTGAGGTTCTGTGTTGACCACACTGTCTAATGGAGGGTGATTGGCACTGGTGCTCTACATGGTCCGGCTGTGTGTTGTGGGTTGTGCGGTTTTTGTCAAAATCTCTTCTTTTTGCCAAAGAGTATTTTCTCAAAATGGCAATTCAATCGTCGTGTTCAATATATATGTACACTGTACATGGCTTTCTGTAAGCAAGAAACTGAAATGTAACTGTCAGTGAAAAGACGATATTTCTGCAACATGGCGCAATTATCTGTCATTATATCATCGCCTGGATGTATATAGGGCACCCTGTCAATTTACAGATGATCACCTGTTTTATCCCATTAGTATATTGCGACACGTGAAGATCCGGGTTAGAATAGGTTTCCAGCCCCCCATGCTTGACTTGAGAGTCGACCTACGAGCTCGTAGACTTGGTTAATGTATGTCATCGTATCCCAATTGCGTTTATCGATGCTCATGATGTCAGTTACTGGTTTGTCCGCACAAGACTCGTTATTTAGCTGTAATATTGCTGTGTGGTGTTAAACAAACAAACAAACAAACGATCTTTGCGATTCGATTGTATGTCTGTGCTGAAGTATAGGAGTTTAGATCCTCTTAGCCTTAGGTCGCTCTTTTGAACTGGCCCTGGTGACTTATAATACCCAATTCTTTATCCGAAGAAAGCATTTCCAACTGCGGAAGGAAAAGAACAACCCAAATAAATAAGTTTAACTCACTACAATCAGTCGGTGGCACAATGTCAGTCTTAAAAAAACAATAACTCGTCTTCCGTTTCCTCGATTTGTTATGACTGGTATTTCAAGCAAGAGCAGTCAGCGGCATCTCTGACTGGTACGACGCATTGCCCGGAGGTTCGATACACGTGGAGTAGCAAACAATATAACTGTAGTCGCGAAAGAGGACTATCCAAACTCGGTGTACAGCTGAGGTCCTGTGTTGACCACATTGTCTAATGGAGGGTGATTGGCACTGGTGTTCTACACGGTCCGGCTGTGTGTTGTGGGTTGTGCGGGTTTTTTTCAAAATCGCTTCTTTTTGCCAAAGAGTATTTTCTCAAAATGGCGAGCGTGACACTGACCAAGGCGGAAGTAAGTAAAACAATAACTCGTTTTCCGTGTCCTCGATTTGTTATGACTGGTATTTCAAGCAAGAGCAGTCAGTGGGATCTCTGACTGGTACGACGCATTGCCCGGAGGTTCAATAGACGTGGAGTAGCATTATGATACAATATAACTGTAGTCGCGAAACTGAAGAAGTTAAGTCTTGTTTTGTTTTATTCTTGCCAGGTGTAATGTTTTCTACTTGTATTGAATCCCAATTTACGGGCTTAAAGTGATTGATTGTACACCCTATACCATATGTTGCATTGCCATGTTGAGTGCCTCGTTCACAGGGACATTTATGTAATGTTCAAGTTATCGATTAGCAAAGAGACTTAAGAATAACTGAATGTTTTATTTTGCTTAGTAGTCACCAGACGTATGCACCGGCCTGTTAGCATTTTGGGTTATACAAGAACACAATAACCAATCGTCTTTAGAAGAAATGTGTGATTGAGATAAATGTTGTATATCAGATGGCGATGAAAGCACCGTACGATGTCATGAAGCGTCTATCGTTGACAACCTTGGAGTTTTATAGTGTAGCCGGTTCAAGGAACAAACAGTTCTATGTTTAAACTGATGCAAGACACCCGAATGATACAGATCACGACTAACGTAACCATTGCTTAGACCCATGGGGTTTCCGGAATACAACTGGACCTTATGCTGCCTGTGCTTGCTACAAGTAAAAGCGACAAAGCCATTTCATAAGAAATCCCATCAAAAAGCACAATCGATTTTAAGATTCCGACTGTATCTAAACATGCGTTCATGAATCACTATCAAATAGTGATGATACTTGGTGTTCGCGAAAGGTGAGAGTATCCTGCCCAACCGGTGGCACGCGTCACAAACACATGCGAAGGCAAGTCAAATGTTCGCCTGAAAACACACGGGAACATTTGGTTTAAAATAGGGAATTGCATCGGATACAATTTTTGTCACTGATGAAATGTCCTCTACATGTCTTCCATAAAAGTTTTTGAAAGTTTAACTGAGGCCTTGAATGTTGTAACCTTGATCAAACAACTTCTGGGTAAGTTGATATCTTGGTTGAAATAGCATGCTCGATTTTACCTCAAAAGTTTTGAAATGTAGACACCAAGGGCTGGGGCTGCAGGAATATAGCTCGACATAATGGGAAAGTTGACTATTGGAAAGGTGAAGTCACCCCTCTTGTCATACAGTCTTGTGGAGAGTGTTTTGTCACTATGAATATTTATGCATAGATCTAAATATGAAACAGAGTGAGGTGGTCTCACTGGTCTCCTTAATTTCTTGTTCTAGTGGGAAATTCGATGGAAGGGAATTAGCTATTTGATAGTTATTGATTGATATAAGATCATCGCTATACCTGGAGCTAATGTTAAACTTCTTGGCCAAATCCAAATTCTTAAATATTTATATTCTATTACATATCAAAAGGTCGATTGTTTTGTCACATACCATACCCCGTGGATATTCCGTGATTGTTAACGCATCAGGCGTCAGACTTGGTTGATGGCGTGTCTTAGGACACCCTGTACATGGCAGCACCGAGCTGCTTTCTTCAAAATGTGGACAGTGCTGGCGGAAGACGTTTTTATCAGTTGCCCAGGTAGACAAACTGAAAATGTAGGTTTTTTGACCCTATCAATTAAAGATTTGATAGTAACATTGTTACATAAATTGTACTCTTAGTTTCAGTACATGAACCACTTTTATACATAATGTTTCGATTTCTCCCGTATCATTTGTAGCCTCAGATATCACAGTTATGCACCTTATTTTTATCAGGTTGTAAACAATGAGCACTGGTTGGTGACATCCAGTACTCAGAATCAAACTTACCTTGATCCACACATACATGTATGACATGATTTGTTACATGAAGTAGCCGAGAAGATTACTTTCTTAACACGGTTTTAAGATCACCTGGATACAAACTGTATGAATTGTATGAACAACATGAGGCAGTTTTATTGAGTACATTTTATTTATATAGTTTCATTAAGCTGACTCATTCATTCAATATCAACGCAACCTGGTCATTGTATTACATTATTATCTGTACGCGTTCAGTGTGCATTATATTTTCAGCTCGAGGGGAGAACACAACACAAGCTCTCATAAGACTAGGTTTACATACACACTACGTTCTCTCCCTTCCTGGTAACCATTCACTACTGGGTGAACCGAGGCATATTTCGAACAAAATATCTTGTCTAAGGAGATGCATGTAAGGTTTGTTTCAGTGTACGCCAGGATCGAAGCCCCAGAATCCTCACGAGTCAAGCTGCCGAACACGGACCAATCAATCTAATCTCCACGATCAATGTTGCTGAATTTTGCCTGATTTGTGACCGTGTGCACAACGTAAAGCACGGAACTATGACAACTACCTTCCGCAAGAAGTCCGGCAAATAACAAAGAATGTTAAAAGCATATATATGATATACTCACTGTGCACGTATATGTATGTTCAATAATTCATCTTATATGGCTCATAGTAGATAATTAACATTTGGTGAAAACATTATAAACAAAACCCAAGAGGCAGCAAAATGGCCAACTTTTCTTTAGCATGGGAAAACGTTTGTAGCTGTATACTCCGACGGAAATGTAGATCCCAGGACCAAACATAACCAGGGGTTCGTTCCAAACACAGATCCTTGCGCTAAGATGTTACTTTAACATACACTAACAGCCGTACAGCTGAGTGCCCATATCTTGTATGCCCAGTTGTGATATTGCTGGAATATTGCTAAAAGCGGCGAACAAACATACTCACTCACTCATGTAGAGCTAAGTCGCTTTGTGAACTACTAAGTAATATTGTAAGGATAGAGAGATTAGTAACTGTATTCTACATCGTTTTCATTATGGAAAGCTTAATGACACTGTAATTAGTAATTATGTTGATGGGCGTAGTTTTAAGCAACTTTTAACAATATTAGGAATCGAACCCCGGTATTAAGTTTGACGAGCGAGCGCTTTAGGACAGGGTTATCCTCTGCAGTGACCACTTACCCTTCTGACTGTCAACAGCTGACGGAACGTCTGTGGTGGGATGGGAGGGATCAGTCCTGGAAACTGTTGACAAAGATGACGTTGCTAGTTTAGCCATGATGCAGAGGTGATAAGCAAGTGAAAAAGTCTCGTATAAACATTCAACATTCGGTTCATACAAAATCATTTAACTGAATGCAGTTGCTTGAGCTGTAGTGGTAATAGGAATTCATTTAAGGACATCTGACCATTTATGAAAAGCTATATTTGTAAATGATCATTTAGATATCAAACATATCAGTTTGTACGAAACGGTTCAACGCTGGTATACAGTAGACCGGGCATTTTCTGTGGATACCCTTCAACTAGGGATAATAACCAGGTGGAACCTATCCATTTAAAGTTTAATCATAATGGGCGTGATAACAACACGTGTAGTGTTGACGGAGGGAGAAGGGAGTAAATTAAGGAAGGGGGGGCAAATTATGACCTAAAATCTATCTCGTCGTCCCCTCCCCTCCCCTCCCCCCCCCCCCCCCCCCCCCCCCCCCCAAAAAAAAAAAAAAAAAAAAAGAAGAAAAAAGAATTAACAAAAAACAAAATAAACCAAACAAATGCCCAGGGCCCCGTCCCACAAAGCGATCTTAGCGCTGAGATGATCATAACTCCCGTACTTTAACATAGGCTTACGCCCTACGGTCGCTTTGTGGAACGGGGCCCAGCTCCTTAAGTGAACCCAGTCCTATGTGCCATTATGTTAAACAACATATTCGTCTCGCATGCTATTTACCTTCACAAATAGAAGCAAGGGGAAACCCGCATGGCACCCAGTGTGGCCTCCATGTGTCATGAGCGTTCATCAAAGCTAGGCATGTTGTTATTGGTGAAACAATGAACGGAAAGTATTCATCGTATCCATTGGCCTCTTGTCCTGGAAGAATACAACAAGAAATTGATTGTTCAATGGAACCATCTGTACTAAATATTTCTTATTGTCATGGTTATGGAAAAGGTTGTACTCACTTAAAGGAATTAGTTCAATACACTTGGTTCTTAATATTATTCAGTTGACAAAACAGAGACCCACTTCCGGTGTAAAGGTTTTGTAATGCCACAAAAAGATATGTTGACATGCGTTATTGTTGCATACATTGATGATTAAAATACATTATGTAGTTCAGATTGTATGTTTTTGTGATTGTTGTGTGCGGAACAACCGATTATTTGCTACCCACTGAAACATCGTCAATCCAGACGCAGCGTTAACTACACAAAAATGCGGATTAGCAAGGTTCCCAGTGATCCACGAAAGATGGGGTTCCCGGAATAACGGGATTCGAACTAACGATATTTAACAATATACAGCATATGCAGCACGCATTCTCCCCCAGTTTGTGCTGAACATTGGCATATATTTAAGTCTAGCAATTCACCAGACACTGAATGATTTCTGCCACATATAATATCATACCATTGAGACATACACTGATGCAACGTTCATTGGTCAGTTATTCTTAAATGGGTGAAGTTTACGAATAAGTTATATTGCTTTAAATCTACAAAGTCTTAACTTGATTCATGTAAGTTCCCAGATATAATCTGTGACACTCTTTGTTTCTACGTTTTGCTTTTACACTGTACTCTTTTACCAACAACGCAACTATGCAACAATAATCAGTTATGTTTACTTTACAGAATGAAAACTATGTGAGAATTTAAGTGACCTGACAATACAAGAGGTATGTTTCAACTATTAGTGCAGCTATGAGGTTACCACTTCGTACATGTTACACGTTTCTTGTCTCATGTTGGTTGGTTGGTTTGTTGGGATCGATGACATTGCATCAACCAAGTCAGCTAGCCTGACCACCCGATCCCGTTAGTCGCCTTTTACGACAAGCATAGTCGCCTTTCTTATCTCGTGACGTATACTACTCCAAAAGAGAAAAGCACAGTAAATGATTCAGAGTTGAGTATCAATATCAATAGGTGGTTTCACAATATGCATATTGATGGTCTTCACACATATTGATTTTCATTGACCGCTCGAATACAGAGCGTTTGCACCAGAACGTAAAATATGAAATTTGAAAGAAACAGCATAAATATGAAAGTCCCGTGAATATTATAAAACTTGTCATGCACGTGATACACGCGCACTGTGTCTATTAATGTGCAGTGCCAGAGCAGTGAGCGATGTGATGCGTGGACAAAGTGAGGCTGAACGAAAATATGCCATTGGCTGGCGAATCTCTGTCAGTCGTGGCAAGGCGTTTCACAGAGAACCATAGGGTGACTTTAGCACCCTTACTTAGCACAAGGAACAACGCGTGACCTGCTTCTGGCTGGAAGACCTTCGTCCTGGAAGACTACGGGACCACGACCACTAAGGACAGCTTAATCCGCTTACGTCATGCCAAAATCATCCCGGATGGCCCCGATAGCGATCGAGGATGTTGTTTTCAGCGATGAATCGATAATTGTTCTTCGACGTCCAGATTGCATAGCACGACTATACAGGCTTCGTAATGAACGTTTCGCGCCAAACTGTGTTCAATAGGTGGACAGATATGGGGCTGCTAATGTTATGGTGTGGTCTCATACACTATTGGAACAGTCCTTGTCCCAGGCACCTTATCAGCCGTTCGTTACTGCAACGAGATCATTCGGCCACACGTATTTCACTCATAAAACAACAGAATGTCGTCTGTCAGCATGACAACGCCCGACAACACTCTATTAACAACTGTTTTCTTGGCACAGAACAATATTTCTGCTCTTCTGTGGCCATCCATATCACCAGATCTGAACCCAATTTAACATGCGTGGAACGAACTTGATAGGCGTGTACGACTAGGTTGAACAGAGCCTCGTCGTTGTAAGACGTGTTGTTGGCCTTGCTACACGATTGGAATAACATCCCTAGACAGCTCATGCGGACTCTTGTTGATTCCATTGGTCGGCAAAGTCAGAGTCATTCATTCTAAGGTTGTCATACACAATATTAAGTGCTGTGTCCTTGACCTTTGTAACGCAGGGACGTTACTCATTTCGTAATTTTGAATGAATCCAAAAAACTGTACTCAAAATATGCAGCTTTTTATATAATAAATATAGTTAAATTCAGCTATGCGTTTCATTGTTTGAATAGAATACCATTCAATTGACATTTAACACAAACTATACAAAATAACGTACCATCAACCCATTTCCTTGAGATGTTCGACACAAGCCCTATCCAAAAGTTAGTTTCATTCAGGATATCACTTGCAGTAGAAGTGTTCAGTTTGATCAAATCACTTGTGTGATCAGCTTGCATCCATGACTGCTTGTGGTTTGTATCTGATAGGGAAACACACATGCTCCTAGGACAATGTATCTGGGAAGTATCTGCAAAAGTATGAAGTACAATGTATGACAACGTTTTTTGTAAAATGTGAAAAGTAATCAATTGTCACACAAGAAGATACAGTAAAGCACAATCCGAGGGCTTACGTGTGCTGATATTATTAAAATCATTGAGATGATCTTTTTGAGCTTGTCATACAAGTGACAGAGATATAAGAATGAACGTTCTTTAAAATGAAAAGGTTATACTCACTGTTTGCATAATATGCAAATCTTCGGTTTTTTACTATACAGTTGTTGGAAAAGTCTAGTTGTATTGTTGATCTCCCCTTTTTTCTTCCATAATAGGCACATATCCGATTTCTGGTCGGAATAAACCCAATGTTTCCTACAAATAGGTGACAGGGACATAAAGTTCAGGGGGAACTTACATAAATTAATTATGAATCATCATTGATATAATGAAAATGACGTACTTTGTACGCTATAAGTAAAAGCTTGAATGAGGAGTATAACCTACACTTTGTAACCATTACCATATGCCACTTCAATTGACAAGATAAAATACAGGACAACTGAGAGAAACTGTAGCAACGTATGTCTGTAACTAAAGCAAAACATGTATAGTATAATCTGTTAACAATCCCATCCGATGTTTTATAGGAATGTGGAAGGACGCACATACCAGTACCGCGTGTGTAGACTGACATTCCGGCATGGTTGCCACATTTTTCATCCAGGTTACCCGGACACTGCATCTCACCTGCTGCACTGATATTTGGGACTTCATACGAATTGTCGAGACAATAACAGCTGGTCCCCTATAAATGATCAAACACTTAATGAGTTGTGTACTCCTGTCACAGAAATACTTTATGATAATAATTATTATCTGTTTACTGCATAGTGGTTCTTGTATTGTGTGCTAATAAGAACCATGCCGTCGGGAAACATCAGTAAAAAACAACCGGATGTGAAGAATAATTACTCCAAACTCTTGAGAAACAGACAAGTCACTGACAATATCAAAATGAAAAGCGAAAATAGAATCGGCGATAAATTGTCTCCTTGTCGGACACCCGTAAACGAACTGAAAAAATTCTGTGCAGTTACCATCAACTGATTTGACACATGACTTGACATCTCTATACATGTTACGAAATAAAGAGAGCAATTTGGAACTACAACACAATAAATTTAACTTGTGCCTGCCACAATGCTTGTCTATTCACAAAATCAATCGTTTACGAAAATCAATACGAGCAGATTATAACTTAAAACTTTACACAATGCTATATTTATAAGACCGTGTTACACGAAAATAGAATCTGTGGTACTGTTTTTTTCTTCTAAAACCAGACTGCTCTTCGACAAGGACCGAACAGTTCTCACACCACTCTATAAGCCCAGCTGCTAAATAATTCACGAGAGAAGAATAATTCCTCTAAAATTATCGACGATAGTCTTACTACCTTTAAGGTGAAAATGGACAATAACACCCTTTGTCCAATCAGTTAGATCATGTCCTGTTTTAATATAATATAAATAATACAATACATAATATAATACAAATAATAGAAAACAGGTGGAGAGGTAGCCTCGGGACAGAACACCCAAGAGGCTTGGAAAGGAAGACGTCCTTCCCAGCTAGTGCAAACTGCTTGTGTTGAGACTGAAGTTGCCATGATGTCACAGTTCGTAATGGAGTCATAAATAGAGTCAGTTACAGTAATGTTTGAAAAAGGATCGCTAATGATGTACGAAACCAACCTGACTGTGTATATTTATGTATTAATTTTAATTCCTCTATGGGAATGAACACAAGAGAAGATATAGTTTTATTGATAACAATATTAATGCTGGTCATCAAAACTTCAAATAAGCCAGTTTGTTTTACTTCCTTGCGTGGATGGCATACAATTCACAAACTTAAGGTTTGAATACAAATAACAGACTAGGATACAAATAAGAGTTCACATCTCAATATGTTCATATCATATGTACATCAGGATGCTTCCTGTCAACAATGGTTTGAAATGTTACAGTACACATCTGATGTTTCAAAAACATTGCATCTTCATCAAATATCCCCGTGTCAGTTCGAACCCTCTATTTCCTCACCATTGGTAGATCGATATTTGTGTAACGTATATAAGGTGGGTGAGGAAAACTGAAACCTCAATGACACCGAATCCCACACTGGAGTGACACAGAGCAGGGACAGGAATGAATATAGTCAACCGAATAATGCCGAATATCTTTTTATAAAAGCGCTACGTTCTCAGATGTGAACTACAAGATCATATCGTGACACATGAATCGTTAAAAAGGTTAAATGTATTAAATGTAAGAACAAAATGTTCACGAAAGATTTCATTCTCCGAGATGCCAAGTATAAAGTGTGATAGATGATAGTTTTTACACTGAAGGCTTAGACACAAACCATATGTATGTAGCCAAGCTATGATGTAGATTACATAACCACATTCAACATCTTGAACTCCACATGTACAACATTACAGAAATGAAACACCGAAACATTAAGAGGACTATAACGTACAGTAAGTGATTAGGTTTACTTACATATGTTGACACTAGTTGCATATACACAGTGCATGTAGCAGACAAGCAGCCTCGCGGTCCACATGTCTCCGGACTGTGTGTCATGCATCTACTCGTGGTGGTGAACCCAACAGGGAAGTAGAACGCAGATTCGGAAAACAGAGCGGAAAACCTACTGTATCCCAGATCCTGTTGATGTATGTTTTGTACTATCTGTTGGTCTGTTCAAATGGGGGCGGACGGGTAACCTAGTGGTTAAAGCGTTCGCTCGTCACGCCGGAGACCGGGTTCGATTCCTGACATGGGTACAATATGTGAAGCCCATTTCTGGTTTCCCCCGCCGTGATATGGATGGAATATTGCTAAAAGCGGCGTAAAACCATACTCACTCACTAACTGTTCAACAGAGTCGCTGAAGCAGGAGGAAACTGAGTTTTCACTATCACCCCAATATTTCATGATTTGCAATAGAGGAAAAGACATCCCCTTCATTTGCCGTTTTGGTATGTGACACATGTGCATCTATGTATATTATAACGCGGAGAACTCTTTTATTTATTTGGAGGAAATCGTAACATTTAGGAGATAAACAAACTGTGTTTTCAATGTAGAGCTAGGTTACCTGTAGATTTAACCCCGCTAAATTGAATTTGGAACCGAACGCGCAGCAAAATGAAACAATCTACCAGGTCATGAAATTCCCTGAAATGGAGGTTTGCAAGAAACACAATCAACATACATCCTTTTGCCAAGTGTGAGAAGGAAATCCTCAACAGTCGAAGATGTCCCGCAACTGCGACGCGGTTTATGCAATGTGATTCAACCTAATTAGGTTAAAAATCGACTTTATATATCTAAAATATTTTTTACACTAAAACTGTTTTTATCACTCGTACTGGAATATTCATTCATGGACTAAATAATTTTATATTGTTTCACGTAACATTTTGTATGGAATGATCGTCAAGCTACCATCTGCTATCGACTAGCCGTTAGGCAAAAGTCATTATCGGTGTTTACTGTGATCTGTTGTTCGTGTTTTGAAAGTGTAAGTGGAAAACACGCGATTTTGTGGTCAGAAATGATACAATAGACCCTTACTGTCGAACAGTTTTCGTCTTTTGGCCCCCATTTTACTTGTCGTAAGCTCCTGAGAGAGGCCCGCCTTTTTTGTTGTAACTGAGAGCTAAAACAGCCTCGAGAATAGACTTAGCTAAGATATTTTTCACTACGAATCTTTTACGCCAATGTTAGCGATAAGACAGCTTCGTCAATAGGCTGCCTTGATAATACTGATCATGTCTAACATAAGCGTATCGTAGAACCCATGGGGCAATCTTGATACGATTGGTCCTCATGCAACTCGTGCTTGCTGTAAGATCGGGTGTGATCGTGTGTGATTGAGTGTGAATGAGTGATTGCGTGTCATCGTACCCAACGGCGTTGGACGTTGCTTATGCTATCAATCGCTAGTTTGTCTGGCCCAGATTAGATTATTTACAGGTTTACGCCCTGGCATGAATATGGAAAATACTTCATTCCGATTGATCAATCAGATGTATCAAATCACCTTTACCACCTCTGATTGAAACAGCAGAATTCGACGGCCGCACCACCGCTCAAGCCAATATGTATATAAAAGTACTTCTTTATCGTGATTGTTGGTAGGCATTTTTAAATTGTAACATTTACAATAATAGCTCATCAAATGCAGATAACTGTAAGCACAATATTCAAAGTATGTGTGGCAATACATTTTGGGAAGAAAAAACGATAGATGATAGTTACGTGAAACATAATTTTATTTACCATAATTATAAGAAATATCTGCTAAGAGCAGAGTCCATCGTACGATTCCAACTATAGCATACGCCTTTGTAATGAATCACTATAAAAAGTGATGATGCCAGGTGTTCTGAACAAAGGTGAGAGTATCCTGCTCCACCGGTGGCATCCGAAACAATCACATGCGAAGGCAAATCGAGTCTTCCCCTAAACAAACGTATGGTACATCACACGGGAACACACGGTCAAAGTTGGTAATAGCATCGGACATCATGTTCTTTACGTGTTCACCATAAAACGTTTTAAAAGTTTTACTAAGGCTTTGCATGCTATACGTTTTACGACACTTTTTGGACACTCTTTAAAGTCTTCGTAAAAAGAGCATGCTCGAAATTGATTGTATCTAAAAAAAATGTGAAATGTAGACATCAAAGACTCAAACTTCTCGAATATTACTTCGCAAAAAGGGAAAGACAAACTACGTTCAATTTCTCAAGTCATTTAAATAGTGCATACAATTAAAATGCTTAAATAGTACTAAGAAAGTTCCTAACCAAAACATAGAAAAATGATAATTCTTTTCTAAATTTTCTGTAAATGACAAAGACCCGTTTTTGGTGCTAAATGAAAATAGTGACAAAATAATGCGTATCCAGTTATCATGTGCGAATATGGTAAATATGAACATTCAGTAGAAACACGCTGTTCTGTCTGTAGGCGTAACAAGAAACGTGCATTGGTAAACATATATAATCTGCAAAAACAAGAAACGCAAAAGTAGTAAAATCGTAAATATCTGACAGAGTGATGACGATATCCGTACAAAACTAATTGGTCATTTCTGCATTGATTGGGATTTTTTTGTATGGAAAATTGATTTACTGCAGAAATCTGGTGAAAACATGGAAAAATCGCAAAAACACAACCATATGAGAGCACGTGCAACATCACGTGTTGTGCAATAAAAAAGTTGGGATTCTCATGTGCATGCCATCACAATCTTACGGCAAGCGAAAACAGGCCATGACTGACAGAAGCCCAACGCAACAACGACATCGGCCGAATCATCGTTGGCCGTAGCCAGGTTTTTCTATGTTGCACTAAGAACCATTACAAGACTGTAGACCCGTTATCAGACGCACGGGACAACATATAAATTTATACTAAACTATTTTTACAATATAGAAAAAGATATGTGGGGATTATAACGTGATTTTATCACACTGATTTACGAAACGAATGGCAGGATTCTTTGTATTTGCAAGCCATCACTTCTAAACTGACGTGAATCAGAAAACATTACACTTGAAAATTTAATTTCACCTAAACATTGCAAACGTTACCAAAACGTTACCAGGTGTTATTTCTGCACATGGTATCTGTGAACCAGCTCAAACTGATCATAACAATGCCTGCTTTCAATCTGCCCATCAAACATTGAGAAATACATCTTTTTCCCGGCAGTTTTATTGGA